AGGAGTTGTGTGCATGGGTGGCTGGTGTTTGGGATGCGTTGCACGGGGCTCCGTGTTTGCAGTTCAGTCACTGAACTGCTTTACCGCAGCAGGATCTGTTCTCTGTTTTGGGGCAGGAACAGGTGCTGCCCTGACCAGCTACACCCCAGTGCTGGCTTTTTCCCCTTGCTGGAAGTGCTTTGTAGCCAAGGCATTTCTACTGTAGGTTAAACAGCTCTGAGATATTCAAGATGTGAATCGGCACAAGGCATACCCTAGGAGGGGTTTGGAGGTAGCGACAGGAAAGGCCGAGGGATTGTCATGCTTGTAAAGCTTATATATTTTCTGTGCTGTTAGGAGCGCCAGCCACTGGGGAGCTCTTTGTGCCCAGTGTACTTTTCAGCTGATGATGAAGGAGGAAGAGGAGAGGAGACCCCAAAGTGTTGTTTTGTTTTGCGCTGGTGTATTTTTGTCAGTGGTAAAAAGCAGAGATTGAGGCTGATCCCAAGAACATGAAGTGGTACCTAGTTTTCCAGGTGCAAGCTATTTACAGCTCCAGTACAGCATACCTTGCTTCTGCTATTTGTCATTCGGGAATCGAGCCCAAAAGCTTTGCCTGTATCCCATTACCTGTTTCTAACAATTACCTGTTTCCAACATCATCTCGCATTATACAGTCATGTTATCAAGCACTACTGCAACACATCCAGCTCTCAGGAACACCTGTAGATCTCCTTAAGGGTCCTGTAACTTGTGGCTTTTGTCCCTGACTCCATCCCAGATGGTTTGGGGTGGATGATGGTTCTTTCTTGGTGTGTGCTGGTGATGCACATCCCCCTTGAGTCATTCCCCATCCTGGACTTGTCCTGTCCCTTGGAAAACATGATGGAGGGTCAATGGACACATGGTGGCTGCCCCTGGCCAGCAGCTGGCCGGGCCCTGCTCAGGGTGTGGGGGGACAAAGATGGGACCCACCAGCAAAGCAGATTGTCACTGCCACAGACAGGCACAGCTATAGAACCAGTACAGGGAAATGTGTTTTAGGCCAAACATAATTAACCTAGATATGGGTCTTGATGCCACAAGACGGTGCTGAAGGCAAGAGCTTAACAGGACTTTTACAAGGAGACAGTTATGTGGATAATGAGAACAGCCCATAGTTAAAGGAGTCAGGAAACCTTTCTCTACTGTTTTTTTTTTTTTGTTTTTCAAATGAGCACCATGACTCCTTTATCTGTAAGAGTTTGAATCAACTGTGAACTGTCACCATTAGGAAAAAAACCTCCCTTTAAGGGCAAGTTATTACATAGTGGATTGCTGTGGGTTTTCTGATACCTTCCTCTGAAGCATCTTGTGGCCAAGAGAGAGAAGCTGACCATGGGCAGAAATACCTGGGTTGTCTTTTAGTTTCCAAAACCTGTTGGAGGTCCCAGACCTTGCTGGAAAAGGTGTTGGGAGTGGGGCCGTGGGAAGGGAGAGCAGTGGTGAGCAAGGGCTGGGGAATGGGGGGAGAGCATGTACATGGGTTCACTTGTAATTAGGAGACTTGAACTTTGAAAGAAGTTAATTAATAATGAAAATTCTGACTGAATGATGCAGATTGTGAAGACCGGCTTTGTCAGTAGCTGAAATTAATTACAGGCTCAGGCACAGGGAAAAGGAGGGGGTGAAGGATGCGGGAAGGGGGAGGCATCACCGAAAGAAAGATGATAAACCTGGCTGCAGGCTGTTGCTGTGGTGACGGGAGGCAGTCGCTGTGGTTGACAGCGGTGACACATTGAAGGCAGCAGGTGCTTCTAATTACCCCCTCCACCGACCCAAGCAGGCAGCAACCCCTCCTGACTCCGGGCAGGAGATGCTCCGGTTTTTCTCTTCGCACTTTCTTCCTCTCTCCACTGCAGGTTGGATGTGCCTTTTCAGGTTCCCTGCCTGTTCTGAAAGGAAAACCATGGGACGGCAGCTTTTCCTAATGTCATTTTAATAGCTCGGGAGCAGCCAGTGATTCAGCAGCGTCCTCGGGAAGCCTGAACACTGCTGGCAAACTTTCAGAGAGCTGGTGTCCAAAAAGCAGGGGAGGAGAAATTGAGTGCAGCCGGCCACAGCTTTTTAAGCAAGAAGATGAGGGCCTTGCACATCTGGCCCAAATTGCAATGTCTTTGGGAGTGCTCACCGTGGCTGGCCAGGTCTTGTGCTTTGGGGTCTCGCCGGCTGCCTGAAGGCACCCTGCCATGGTCTGTGTGGCCTGGGACGGGGGGGCACCGCAAAGGCAATGAGAGGAGCAAGGGAGCACGGGACCATCCTGAGCACCCACGCGTTGCTGCTGCCCAAGCATGTGCACAAACGTGTAGATCTGTATGAAATAAGGCCCTGACTTTGAGCCCCTTTGCCTAAATTCCCTGAGTTTGGCTGCACTTGGAGAGTAGTGCTTCCTGCCTCTGGGTCTCTTGTGTCATGTTTTCTGGATGTTTGCTGAAGAAAAAAACCTTGGCTTTTAAAACAATTTCTGCTTTTCACTTTTTAGGTATTAATTTCATCCAGGGCTGCTCTAAGCACTGGCTCTGTACCTCTCCTGTCTGCCTTATGCCTAGGGAGAGGGACTTTTGCAGCTGTCGGCTCAGCCCACATCAAAACTCTTTTGGCCCCTTGAAGAGTGTCATTCAGCACTGATCCCCCCATCATGGCTTTGCTGGTGCTGCCTTTCCAGTAGCTGTCAAAGCATCTGCTGCAAATTGGAGAGGCTGAGAGAGCTGGGGTGGCTCAGCCTGGAGAAGAGAAGGCTCAGGGGGATCTTATTCATGTGTATAAATACCCGATGGGAGGAATGAAGGAGACAGACGGGTCAGTGGTGCCCAGTGACAGGGCAAGAGGTAATGGGCACAGCCTGAAACATGGAATATCCTATTTAAATGTAAGAACACACTGCGTAGATAGTCAAACAATGGAGCAGATTGCCTAGAGAAGTTCTGGTGTCTCTATCCTTGGAGATACTCAAAACCCAACTGGAAGTGACCCTGAGTGATCTGCTGTAGTTGATGCTACTTGGAGCTGGGGGGTTGGACTTGGTGACCTCCAGAGGCCTCTCCCAACCTCAACAGTTCTGTGGCTCTGTAATTCTGTGAAAGATGATGCCGAACAGATTTTGAAAAGTCCAGAAAAGTATTGCGGTCTTACCTGTAAAGCCTGTGGGAGCTAATGGAAACCTCTCCAATTGCTTTCCTGGGCTTTGGATCAGATCATTAAAGAAACGTGCAAGAGAGAGAAAGGTGGAAAGTTGAAGTTGTATTGTGTAGAGCCCTGAGGGCAAACATCTTATTTGTGCCCTTTTGGAGTTTTCCTCTTGGAAAAGGCTTCTGGTTTTGAAGCCTACATCAAGGGTGGGCTCTATGTGCATTACTTTGTACAGCACTTGGGATTATCTTAGTGAGGGATAGTGATAACACATTCTTGAAATCACCTCATAGTGTGATTGGCACAATAGAGCTGGTGCCCTGCTCTTGTCTGATTTTGCAACTGAAGGTAGCTCACCAAAAACCAGGTGGAGAAGAGAAAGAATTAATAATCTTCTAGATCAGATTGTGTGGGTTAGTCATGAATCACTGTCAGAGAATGAGCGTGGAAGAGTTGCTCAGAACAAACCATAGATGTTGAGTGTCTTTCAGAAGTGACCAGAGATACAGGCCAATGTTTTGGATTCAGTTCTGCAAGGACTGAAAATGGGCGCACTCAGTGGGTTGTATTCTAAATGGATAATTTCTTGGTTCTGTTATTTTAAATTAAAAAAAAATAAAAATTGTCTGAACATGGAAACTGAGCGGATATAATTGCGAGGTGTGTTAAAATACCCAAGAAGGATGGTTCTGCCAGAGGTTGGAGGTCCGTTCTCGTTAGATTTACATCGCTGCTTTGCAATGCAAATGCTGGAAAGATGTCACAGAAATGTGCCTGCTTTTAGAACTAAAATACTGTAAATGAGTTCTTGGATAAGTGTGTATCAGGTCTTAAGACTCCTTCAGGAGGAGAGGCGATGGTGAAGAGCAGGCAGGTAGAGGGTGTGGAGAGCATAGATAAGGTCCCACAAATACACCATTTTTATCCTCTTCTGTAGTATATAAATGAAGTGGCACTTGATGAAATTAAAAGGCAACAAATTAAAAATCAATAGGAGGAAACAATTTTTAATGTAAAGTATAATTAGCCAATGTAGCTTATGGCTGCCAACTATTATCGAAGCAGATATTTTAGTAAGATTATCAACAAAGGATTCAAATGAATAAGCAAAGCATCTGTAGGGACACCAGTGTAGTTGAGAAAACAATTATAAGGGCTATCAATCCTCATGCTTTAGGGCATAAACAGATCACCAGCTGGGGTCAGAAATGTAATTTCCCCCCATGGTTATTGAATAACTTAATTAGACACATTGTGGAGTTTTATCCAGCGTGGGTCACTGCTGGAAGCAGAGTTAACAGATTAGATGGACCATTGACCTGTTCCAACATGGCAACTCTTTATCTCCAAGTTCCTCTTAGAAGGGAAGAGGGAGACTTCTAGCCTTGTGTTGTACCCCCTTCCCAGAAGGGCAGCAATCGCTAGGCTCACATAGAGATCCAGCTGTCCATTTTGATTTAGATTCCTAGATCATGGAGATCTCTGCTACATTTGAGTATAGGCCACCTTTGAAAGGCTCTTCCATATATTTGGAAGATTCGGTAAGCCAAGGAGGAAAGGGACTTGACAAACCAACAGGAGAGGAGTGAGCATGTGTTTAACTATGGCAATGATTTGACTTGCATAAATACCTTAGGCTTTTGTGCTACCTCTACTTTCCCCTTTTCAAAAGAGTTTTGGCTTAATCCAGGTGTGGAATGGTGAGGAACTAAGGGGAAAAAAACATAAGAATGTAATAAATTAGCCTACCAGCAGTTATTTCCCTTAATCTTCCTATTTTGTCATCCCAAGCCTAGAGCAAGCTTATCTCGGCCATGATGCTTTTACAGAAGTTTTCCTTGACTCTTTTCCACCTGGTTTGAGTGTGTCAGCATGATGGTGATTTTGTTAAACTGCGTTACCCTGGGGATGTACCAGCCTTGTGAGGATATGGACTGCCTTTCTGACAGGTGTAAAATCTTACAGGTAAGCAGACTTCCTTCTTGTTGTGATGGTGCCTCAGTCCAAGTCAGAAATTTTCACGCATGCTTTCCTTCAGCGTGTGGGTAACACCTTCCTAGACAGGTGGGCAAGAATGTCCCTGGCAGTAAGCTATCCTGTTGTAAAATGGCAAGAACTTGCTTTGAGAAGGGGATTGGGGTGAGAGGCAGATGACGAATGAAGTCTACTTGTGACCATGCAATACAGAACAGCTGCTAACCTTCCTGATCCTGTGCGTAAGCCTGGGTTTCCTGACATAGACAGCTACAAGATGCATAGCTCAGAGGTAAGCTAGGGAGAAATAACTAAGGCTACAATGTCCAGGCAGGAGGCATTAGCAGCCCCCAATGCATTCGCTACTCTGTTGAGGAGCAAAGGTACTACTGAGTCCATAGGTAATGTGGCATTCAGGATGCCCAAAGGGAGAAGAAATAAAAGGTATGCCAAGAAGGGCCGTGGGTACATCCAGCCTGTGAATGTACTAGCTGTACTTGCTGCTTCCCCAAAGAGAAGGTGACAGCAAAGGTTGTCATCTATAGTGTTGCTGAGGCTGTGATGTTCAGATATCTGAAGCCTCTATCTGTGATTGGTATGTGCTGTGTGTGCTGTGTGAAGCTGTGCTATGTCCTCAGCTGAGCCATTTATCTCACATTCTGTGTTTTAAAGTCCAAGGCCGAGAATGCTTATCAGATGTGCTCTTGGGTTTCTGTTTGGCAGGTGTTTGATGATTTCATCTTTATCTTCTTTGCTATGGAAATGGTCTTAAAGATGGTGGCCCTGGGGATCTTTGGCAAGAAGTGTTACCTTGGAGATACCTGGAACCGCCTGGATTTCTTCATTGTCATGGCTGGGTAGGTCAATAGTTTCTGGGTTTATTTGTTCTGTGTTTGCTAGAGTCTTGCATGGAACAGAAATGACGTAACTGAGGGGAAAGTTTCCACTCTGGTGCTATTCCAGTACATCTGCCGAACTGGAATCAGACATGCTAGGGTTAGCAGTCGATGGAAGAAACAGGAGAGAAGGTAGCTTAGCTCCCCAGCTGATGTGCAGCCATCTATCACGCACAACTTCAGAGGAGGGTGTTCATTTGTACCAGCTGAAGAGCTAGCTCAGAAGCTTCTTCATTTTGTTTTTAAAATGTCTGAGTGGAAGAGGTGTAACCTTTACCAAAACCAAGCTAGCTTCTCTGTTTCCAGCAGCAGTGTTTCAAAGGTAGAAATGTCATTTTTGTTACTCTGGGCTTTTTGTCTCTGTATTGTACTGGCCTTACCCACAGTACTATTGGGACAAGCTGACATTTGAGTGTTTTTAACAACAAAGTTGCTATGGTGAAGCTCTGATTTCCCCTCTGCATGTAGGAAGTGGAAAGTCTACCAGGATTTGCCTATTGAATCACAGCAAAATGTCCATCTCTGATACCAGTGCTCTTCTGGAATTTGTCCGTTTTCAATTAGATTGCCTTGTGGCACAGTAAAAAAAAAAAAAAAGTCAGAAATAAAGGTGTAATATCGCTGTTCTCCTAGTAAGCTAGTGAATATCTTTTCAGAGAGAAACCCCCACTTTCCTCTTATTCCCAGCAAGGAATTACCCACATTCGCTGTCACCTGGAAGCGTGTGTATTACTGACTGAGCCAGCAGCGAGTTCAAGCTCACTTTGCAGAGTTTTCCCCTGCGGTGTGGAGCAGTACTGTCTTTATATTTGCTTTTGACACAGTTCTTCTACAGCAAGACTTGAAAGTCATTCCCTCTGGAGGGGCATATAATTGTTTGCTTCTGGGAGGAGCAGAGATTTTCAGACTCAGTTCAGTTGTAAAAGTTTGAAGGCTGATCCTTGGCCAGCTTGTGCATGAAAGGAGGACAGGCAGATGAAAGCTGTAGCTTTTTCTAAATTAATGTAAAATGTGTGAGATGGGAAGACCCTCCTTGTGGCTGAGCTTGCTGTGATTACCATCTGATTTAAAATGGCCTGGCATGGGGACTGAGAGTTCATCAGGAAAGGCTAAGTTAAAGCACTTGGCACATGGTGGTGAGAAAAGCCAGATCATTGTATTTTCTAGTCTGAGCTCCTGGTGGCAAAATTGCTGGTTACTGGATGCAGGGAAAGCAAGACCCTACCACAGCAGCCTTTGAGGAGGAAAGGGAAGAACAAGTGTGTTTGAAAGGGGCACCTTGGAGCCCATGGTGCTCCTCCGTGAGGGTGATGTGCTGCGGTATGCTGGGAGGAAGGCTCTGCTCTGGGTGGGCACAGGATTGCTGGTGTATGGGGTAAAAGGCTTGGGAACTGGGGGTCTTGCTCTACCTGGTGTCCCTGCAAGCATGGTATGTGGGGTCGTGCTATCTGGAGAGATGAAGAAATCAGTAGGGTAATGCAAAATGAAAGAGGGTGAGCTCAAGTGCTTACTCCATGCAGGAAGCAAGTGAATTCCATGCTACCTAGATGAGAAGGGAGTAAACCCCATTTACGTGTTTCCTTCTGTCGACATTGCTGGCAGAAATTTGAGGAGAGAGTGAGTCTTTTGTGCATCTGATAGCAGTACTAGGAAAAAAGCCCATATCTGAATTCCTTTTAATGCTAAGGAGACAGAATCAACTCCTTAGATGTAGAATAATCAGCTTGGAGGACTTTTCATTTCAGGTCCAAAACTAAAAGAAATTTGTTTCCTGATTTCTATACAATTCTCCTCATGAGGTGTCAGGCTGAAATGATAGTAATCTCATTAGAATATCTGATCTCAAAAGACTTCTGCTAAAGAAAGATTTTTCCATTTAGTTATATAGGACTAATGACTATATAATGTATTTCAAGTTATAAAAGCTTGTGGTTATTAATTCATTATTCTTTGAAATTCATTAAATTTTTGTCTGTGCTGTTTAAATCAAATCCAAGGCTCAAACTTGCCCTTACATACGGACTGTAGGCTTTTATTTAACCTCAGATTTAAGCCTCAAGCTTTATCCTGATTGGTCCCACGCCTGGATCATGGCTTCAGCTTGCTCTGGGTCCAGATGCTGCCCTAGACTTCTGACTAAGAGAAGACACCCTGCTTCAGGTCTTGCGTGTTTTCTCCATACCAGTGAGTTAGATCCCAGTCAGAGGCTAATCAGTTTTCTCTGAGGGCCTTCTCCTTTTCATAGCCCTGGACTTTCATTGCCTGCAAGGCAGATCATAAATTTGGCTCTCAAGAAAACGTCTGTGATGTTGGGAAGTATTGCACTGCATAGAAGACTTGCAGCTTCTCTCAATTTCAAGAATAAGGACTGTACTTCCCATCCCCTTCTTTCCCCTTCTCCCTTTCCAAATAAACACCAACGAAGCAGCAAAGGTTGGAAGAATAAACTGTAGCATGGAAAAGCAAAATGCAGGCAAGGGACTGTTTTGTCGGGTGTTCCTGGGCAGCTGAGATACCTCCATCTGGCTAGCTGCATGACAGCATGTTTCATCAAAGAGCATAATGACTATTTGCTGCTATTGCCCCAGACAGTGTTTTGGTTACATAAACCATGTATTCAGGCATTCATTTGTAGTTTTCTCCTCACTTCCTTGGAAAGCCAGAAGCTATAGTTTTAGTTAGCTGAATTCCCTCATGTGCCCCTGCCCTGCTTGCCCCTGCACCCCACGCAACCCAGCAGCTCAAGGAGGAAGACTCCATTGTCACTAAAAATGTTCCGTTTCCATGGCAATAGGAGCTGACATCACCAGAACTTTCTCCCCCCTCGCACACTCCCTCCCCCAAGCATCTTCAACACGTTTTTTTCAGAAAGGATTAGAAAAAGCCCCAAACAAGAGTCCTAAGTGAACACTTCCCATTGTTCCCCTCAATGCAAGGTAATTTGGGTTGAAGAATGCTGATGCCCTTGCACGCACAAGCAACGAAGGCTGCAGATTCAGCTTGTCAATGCTCCAGTTCCCAACTGCTCACTGGCAACAGGAGGTTGCAAGTTCCCAGACGTTTCAAGCAGACTGTGCTTGTCACCAGCTGTCCTGGTGGGAGTCCCTTTTCCCCTGTGTTTGTGATTAGGTCTTGTCTGTCGTCATTTGTTTCCCACGGTGATGGGTGCATTTGGAGAGCTTGATCTGAGGCAACTTCAGAGGGCAGCCTCCTGAAGTTGAGAGCCTACTACGTTTTGAAAGTTGAGATAATGGCAACACTAATCATATTGGAAATGTCAGCCAGTGTCTATATGTGCATGAATTTAGGAGAGTCACTTATTTCTAGGCTAACACTCATCAACTTTTCAAGCTAGGCAGTTCACTAGCAAAAAAAAAAAGTGAGCAATTTCTCCTGCTTGCTCTACTCTGAGACAGTTGTGTTCACATGCAGTTGGAGATGATGCCACTGTCCCCCTGGAAAGGGAGATGTCCCTTTACATGAGTCTGTCCTGAGGGTCCCTGGGCAAGGCGTGAATTTGTGCAACCTGCCTGGCATTGGGGGCATTAATTCCACTAAGGGAGTGGTTGTTCTGCTTTTCTTGAGCCAAGTACTGTAATTAATGATCTGTGGTGGGAATTATATCTGTCTCTGCCCTCTTCTGTGGCATCCCCACAACATGTTCTGGTATGTAATTTACTTGAGTGGGTAGGTAGGTTAAGGGGGAGAGGGCTTCACTACGTGGCTGGGGGGATGATTGTGATTACAAGTATGTGCCCAAAATATGTCCAAATCTTTCCTTAACTACTTGCTGCTTGGAGTCCAATGGCTGAGGAGAGGCTGGTCTGTCTTTCAGAGAATGCCCCATCTTTGCCTCTCTCCATTATCACACTGGAGCTTGCCATATAGATCTCATAAGCTGTGGTCAAATCCTATCCTGACCTTGCTTTGATGAGAAGAATGGCATGACTTGTATATTTTGGCATTTTGAGATATACTTGCAGTATTTTTTAACAGCTTTTAAAAGTGGTGGACGTCAGAACAAGACACAGTGCTCTGTGCAGCTGCTTCAGTGCCTTCAGTAGTAATACTGTCTCTCTATTCCAGCCTGAAATTTCCTAGCTCCTACAGCCAAGTGTTGCAGTAGCCCATCTACTCAATCACAGCATCTCCCTATCAATTCATTCAGCTGCTTTCTCCATTGGCTCCAGGCTTGGTTGGTTGGGGTTTTTTCCCTCTGTCTCCTCTTCTGAAGAGAGAAAATCCCTTCCTATTAGTAGGAACAGAAAACTTTGTTCCCAGATGTATGCTGTTCCATTTGTTCATGCTGGAATGCATATTATTTGCATTTCCAAAGCAGTTCATACTGTTCTATATTGCTGACTTGTCCTCTTTGTTTCTTTTCTGTTCTTCCAAAAATATGCTTCAACTGCAAAATCCATTAGTGATTTTTTTTTAATTTTCTGCCAGGTTGTGATAAATAAATAAAGAATGGAGTGGCAAGAATTGTGCATTACAGAAGTACATCTGCTCACGAATGAGTCCCCATTTACTGTTGCATGTAAGGTTTATTACTTAGCCAGTTTTTCTTCAGCTAATGTATGTCATCATGATTTCATATCACTCCAGCCATATCAACATAATTACTTGTGTGAACCGGACTTGTAATCTCATAAGAAATTATAGCACATTAGTTCGATGTCTATTTTTCCTTAAACCTGTGTTGATTATAGTTAATTTTATTATCCACCTTTAATCTATCAAAGCTGCATATTGGCGATTTCATTACTGTGCTGTGATCAGCATCAGTCCAGTCAGCCTATTGAGATCACTGTGTTTCTAAAGTACTGGCACAACATCAGAATTTCTTTGACCCTTGGATGCTTTCCCAGTTTTCTGAGACTAATCAAAAATCATCAGTACTGGACCAAATCTTTTCTGGCCATCTCTTTTAAAACTCTTGGATATAAATTGTTCAGGCC